GCAGAAGAGGAAACAAACTTGGGAGAGGCTGTCACAGTCAGTCAGTGGCAAAGCTGGACTTAAACATGACTTTGACCACTGTACTACACTGTTCCTCAATGTGCCACTTTGCAATACAGTGGTAATACACAGCAACAGAACTGCTAGCCCTATCTGGCTCTTGCTTTGGACTGTGAGCACCTGAATACTAGGACTGTTGGAAAGGGAAAAGTAATAAAGGATGGAAAAGGGGTGAAAGGTGAAACCCAAAAAATAACTTAGTCTCTTACAATGACCTATACTAGTCGCTTTAAATAAACATATGATTTGCTCAGAATTTATATAAAAAGTTAATTAAACTGAGTTACAGAATTGTGTTTAAATGTCAGAGTATGATTCTTATTAGAAACTAAGAAGGAAGTTCCTTCAATACCCCCTTTTGTTTTTAAGTTTTCAAAAAGCAGTAATTACAAAACATTGATCTAATACTGAAGATCTTGGCATTAGCACAAAAGCAATTATTTTTGCTATTCGTTATGTATTAAAATATTATCTATCCACCTTGATGCTGCTATGGCCCACAAAAATTGCCCAAGGCATTTTATGTAATGGCCTTCATAAGACCATATGCAAAGATTTCCAAATTCAAAACATGTGGATATAACTGTCAACAATTATGGTTTGCCAAGGACATGGGGTGAGGAGGGGTGGGAGAGGCAGACAGCAAGGATAATAAGAAAAGGATGCATGTCTGTGCTTATTTTAACTGGTGAGCAAATCCTAAACAAGAAAACATTTTGGAAAAAAAATTGTGAAGTCTTACACTTATGTAAGGATTATTAAGATTAGTAGAAGATTCTATTATTCCTTAATCAATAATATTCCAGTTTTAACACACTAAATCATCTTGATTCTATATATTATTCATCAAATAGCCATAATACTTCCTTTAATAATGTGTGTGTGTGTGTGTGTGTGTACATATATACAATCTGTGCTTCATTATCTGACTACACATTTCAGGCTATCCATGTCAAATCATGCCCTTTATTAATAGTTTAATGTTTTAAAATTACATAAAAAATGACACTGATCATAAACATCCACATCATATACATATCCTGGTCAGTTTCCAAAAAGGAGAATGTCAACCCTGATCTCAAAGGAATTAAAAATCAAACTGAGGGACAAAGATAAAACTATATTGTATGTAAATGTTTTCTACATATAGCTTGAGAGGAGAAAAAAGGTGGAGGGAGGGTAGACAGGTTTTCATAAGCCAGGGAGAAGATCAAGTCAGCATCAAGAATTGACAGAGAGGGGCACCTAGGTGGCTCAGTCGGTTAAGCGTCTGCCTTCAGCTCAGGTTATGATCCCAGGGTCCTGGGATTGAGCCCCGCATCAGGCTCCCTGCTCCAGCAGGGAGCCTGCTTCTCCCTCCTGCCTGCTACTGCTCTCTCTCTCCCTATCTCTGTCTCTCTCAAACAGATAAAATCTTTAAAAAAAAAAAAAGAAGACTTGACAGAGAAATGGACAATGGTAAACAGGTATAAATACTTTGGAAAATTATTTGAGGTAACCTACTAAATTTGAACACATGTGTAGCCTACAACCCAGCAATTTCATTTGGGAGTACATAACAGAGAAATTCTTGCACAAATGCATGAGATTTATACATGAATGTTCATAGCTGCAATATTTTAACAGCAAGGAGAAATAAAATCTATGTGAAAGAGCAGGAAGTATGCACAGATCACTTCTGCTGGATACCAAAGAATAATATAATTGTCACATGGAAGAGCATTAATGGTATTGAATTACAAGCTGAGCTAGTTGCTTTTTTTCATGAAACATTTTTTTTTTTTTAAAGATTTTATTTGTTTATTTAAGAGAGAGAGAGAACACATGAGAGGGGATAGGGTCAGAGGACGAAGCGGGCGCGGGACTCGATCCAGGGACTCCAGGACCTGAGCCGAAGGCAGTCACTTAACCAACTGAGCCACCCAGGCACCCACATCATTTTTACTGGAAAGAATAACAGACAAACCATGACTATTCAGACTTGGGTAGGAAAGAACCTGTCACTTAAGAGAACAGAACTGATACTATTTGTTTCCAATAATAAAACTGAGCTTTCAAATGAAGCTTAGACTTTTAGAAAACTTGTATCCATCACCATGAGCTTGACACTTTCTCATACTTAAGGTCTATTCTGAGATTGATGTGATATTGACAAATGATACTTGTTTTTATATTGTACAATGAAATCTGTCAATATTTGGAAGATCTGCACAACCAATATTTTCCACATGATTAACGCATGATGTTATAAAATCATGCACAGGAAAGATATACTCAAAAGGCAAGAAAAACTAATAAATTTAATGTTACAAGTATAAAAATAGCATTGATAGATATGGTTTCAGATTCAGATTCTCTGTTGTAACTAACTTTTGAGAAACTATGCCTTATCTAGTTTTGGTATAATATCAAATAAAAATAGCTATAATTATCTGAAAAGGTTAAGACCCCCCTTTCCAACTACACGCCTGTATAAGACTGAATTTTCTTCATACCCTTCAACCATATCACAACAGATGAAATGTAAAAGCAGATATGAGAATCCATCTGTCCAAATATTAAGCTAGACATTAAAGAGGTTTGCAAAATATAAAACATCACCACTATTTTTTGTTTTGGAAAAATACAGTCATTTTTCCTAAGAAACGGTATTTATGTTAATATTTAATAATGTTTTTAAAACAAATACATACATATTTTTTAAATTTATGTTTCAATCTCTAATATACTAAGTACCCATAGATACAATCCAAAAAAATAAAACCTCTTTGGGGTCCATAATAATTTTGAGAGTATGCAGCATTCCTGAGAGGAAGACGTTTGAGAACTGTTGGCCAATGTCACAAGCAACAAATTACCCTAAAACTTTGCAGGTTAAAATTTTATCTATTATCTCACACAACTTCTGAGGGTCAGGAATCCAGAAACAGCTTAGCTGATAGTTCTACATCAGGGTTTCTCATGACGTTGTAGTAAGCTGTGAGCCAGAGCTATAGTCTCTGACGACTTGACAAGAATTGGAGGATGTGCTCCAAGTTCATTCACCTGGCTGTTGACTGGAGGCTCGATATTTACAGCCAATTTTACTTGTCTCTTTTTCCCCCTCTACCATGTTCTTTTCTTTGGTTTTCCCTTTGTTATATCTCACTAAAATAGCAGGTTCAATTTATTAAAAAGCAAAGCCAACAAATTCACCATACTGTTCAATAAAAGGGTTTAATGACTCCCTACTCCCCCACCACCAAAAAAGTAAAGACATGGAAGAAAAGTACTAACCAATACCTAACCTGCCCCCAAACTAAATATCATCTGTTGCTCATCTATAAAGAAAGAAGGTGGGAAATATTAACATTACAAAATACAAAATAAAGAACAAAGCTGAAGGTCTCATACTCTCTGATTTCAAAACTTATTAAAAGCTATGGTTCTCCAAACAGTGAGGTACTGGCATAAAGACAGACATACAGACCAACGGTATAAGTACAGAGAGCCCATAAATAAACACTCACATACATGGTCAAATGATTTTTAACAAGGGTGCCAAGAGCATGGGAAAGGAAAGTCTTTTCAACAAATGGTGCAGGAGAAAACTATCCATACGCAAAAGAATGAAACTAAATCCTTACCTTACGCTATTAAAAAATTAAGTCAAAATGAATCAAAGACCAAAACATAAGACCTAAAACTATAAAACTATTAGAAGAAAACATAGGGGGAAAGTTTCATGGCATTGGATTTGTCAATGATTTCTTAAATATGACACCAAAAGCAAAAAGAGATAAAATGGACTACATCAAATAAAAAACTCAGTGCATCAAAAGTGTGATTGTTATTTATAATAAAAAATATACATTGGGTTTTTATCCCCATTTCTGGAAGAGCTCTAAAAACCCTTGGAATTTCCTAAGTGATAAGAGCAATGAAAATGTCTTTTGTTTATTCATAACTAGCCCCTTTCAACCACCAATGAGTTTATGTTAATGAGGTGATTTTTAAAAAGACCCTAAGGATGGGGGCTGCTGTCCATGGCAATCAATCAGGATTAAAGGGTTAGAACTTTCAACCCGACCCCCCCATAAGCCCCCCCACCAACCATCTCAGGAAGGGGAGAGGAGCTGGAGGTGGAGTTAATCAACAATGGCCAATAATTTATCAATCATGCCTAAGTAAGGAGGCCTCCTTAAAAACCCAAAGGGACAGGGTATGGAGAGATTCTAGGTTGGTGAACACATAGAAAGCACCCAGAGAGAGCACAGAAGCTCCATGCCCTTTCCCACACATCTTACCCTATGAATCTCTTCCATCTGGCTACTCTTGAATTATAATCTTTTAAAATAAACCAGTAATCTGGTAAGTAAAATGTTTTCCTGTGTTTTGTGAGTCACTCTAGCAAATTAATCGAATCTAAGGCAAGGGTTGTGGGAGCCTCCTATGTACAGCCATTTGGAACAAAGTACAGGTAACAAGCTGGACTTTCAACTGGTGTTAACAGGGGGGTGCGGGAACAGTCTTGTGGGACTAATCCCTTAAACTGTGGGATCTGACACTATCTCCAAGTAAATGGTGTCACAATTGAGTTACATTGTATGACACCAGCTGGTGTCACAGAACTGTTGTTGTGTGGAACACTCACACATCTGGTGTCAGAAGTAAAAGTGTGGTAGGGTATTAGGAGTGGAGGAGACACACAGGAGTGATTTTCCTTTACAGAAGGCGGCGGTGAATGGGGAGTTGTTCAAAGAATGTAGAGTTTTAGTTCTGCAAGATGAAAAGAGTTCTGGAGATTGGTTTCATAACAATGTGACTGTTCTTAACACTTAAAAACCAGAGTAAGTCATGCTATACTCATGCCAATATATATATACATATAACGTACACAAGATTAAAATTTAAGATAAATAAAATCAATTCACCACTAGATGTAGCTCTTAAATTCTTACCTGATTTTTTTGTGTTAATTCATTAAGTGAACTTTTAAGTTTTTGTAGTTCCTGCACATATACAGCAACTTCCTGGGGGCCTTTTGCAAGCTCACTCCTTAGCTGGCTTATTGTGGCCTTAAAAAAAAAAAAAAGAAAAAAAATTAGAGAAAACTAAAATAGAAAAGGAAATGGGAGCATCCAAAGGTTTTAAAGTTTCATAGATTTTTGTCAGTTGTTGTTAAATTAAAATAAAACTTAGAAGTTTCAACTTAGTTCTTTTTCCTATACCCCTACTGCCACCTCACGTTTGAAAATTAATTTTTTTTAAATTTATCCAAAATGTACAACTTCATTTATTTAGTAATGCATGAAATGAAGAGCTGGCATCCTACTTTATGTGTCTGAGTAAGCATCAAACTGTAAACTTGAATTTACTGGCTTTTTGAAACTCTGTACTTTAATCCTTCTGCATTTAAAGAAGATAATGCAACCTATTGCCTACATTTTCCCCCAATTTCTATAGGACAGCCTTTCCTTTTACTTTAAAAACATGTTAAATAAATGCAAACATACAATACAGAATCACCTTGGAAAGGTGGTAAATCATCTTTTTGACTATATGGTAAAGTCTTTGTCCAAAGAAGTTATATAGAATTTTATTAGATATAGTTTCATTAAGCTGGGCCACTCCGTAACCAGGTATAATAGCTGGACATGAATTTGCTTTAATGCATTTTAATATTTTTTAATGAAATTAAGACAATGGATTGATCATTTAAAACTAAGAGAAAAGTAGGCAAAGATCTTGGAAATAGAAACTTCCTACACATGAGAGCTTCAACAACTAGGGAGAGAGAGACTAAGTGCTGCTTTTTTTAAGTATGGTTTCCTGCAAGTGATATTAACAAAATAACTTTGTATTTCTAATATTGCTTACTGGCTTCACTTTTTACATTCCCAAAGTTACAATCATTTTCATTGTCTACATTCTTTATTAGTAAATAAACTTCATATGAAAAAGACATAAATTTTTAAAATTTTTTCCTAATAAACACATCAGCAGTTGTCTTTTTCCAATGTTACAAATAATTACTTTCATTTTCAAGGGAGAAACGAAGGCTATCGATTTATTTTGACAATAATGCTAAGAGATCTTCTGCTACTCTTCTTTTGGAAACCCTTCCAGTATGTGTGGCACTATTTGTTTTTTAAAAAGAATTCTCATTGGTGGTATATATATCTTCATCCATTACAGTGCTTTGGTTTAAAGTTTTGGAAACCATCTTGTAAAGGAGGTTAAGTAATTAAACTGAATGATCAAACACTCGGGCTTATATTATTTTAATAATCATAAGTTAATGAAACTAGTGTTTTGAGTGTTTCCCAAACTGGCTTAAAGTCAGTTAAAAGAGGTTTCACAAATGTTTTTATGAATAGCACCATGTCTGAGATACCTTCCTGGTCTGACCCTTTAGGGACAACATTCATGTAAATAAACCAATTCTAATACAATGAAAGGCAATCTGTCATTCTGCTTTACAGTTACAGCTTATACAATTACAGCTTATACAGCATGTTCCAATAATAACTGATATATATATAACATATATATATGTAATATAGCTACTGTATACTTAAGAGAAGGAAATGTTTGGGGTTTTTTTTGTTTTTGTTTTTAAGTAGGCTCCACACCCAGCATAAAACCCAATGTGGGGCTTTAACTCATGACCCTGAGATCAAGACCTGAGCCAAGATCAAGAGTCAGACACTTAACTGAGCCACCTAGGTGCCCCGAAGAAAGAAATGTTTAAATATTTGTTATTTTTAACTATATTCAAGTTAAAGGTATATCCTAATAACTTCTTTCTTAAACTAATCATGTAACCTTTTAATTGATATTGGGAGTTTACTTCAAACTGCTATTTCTAACAACTTTCAATCTCAGATCATTTTCTGTTAGTAACATTATGGACGTTAACAGAAATATTAGGAACAGTTTGGCTATTTTAAATTACTATGTATCAAAGGATTTAGCAGAGTAACACAGAATAAACAGAAATAACAGTATATATTAATATGCAAATTATGAGTATATTTCATTAAAATACCATGATTCTGCATTTAAGTTTATAAGATATAGTAAGCCAAGGGTAACATCTATCTAGTATCTATCTTGCTGATTAACTCCAAAATGTAGAAAAAAACAAGCAAAATGTAAAGCAAATATATTCAAAAATATCTTGTTATACTGTATAGTTTTTAGATACATTCATATAAATGATTTTGTAATTTTAATACCTAAAGAACTAGACATTAGGTTTGTCATTTATCCTTTGTACACTAAATATGTACTTTTTTTAACTAGAATTTTTTAAAAGCAAGCATTTGAAATTTTTTATTTTACTCAAGTGTGGAAAAAGGAAAGATGTGGGAAGAATTTATACCAAAAGGTATATTTTAGTCATGGGGAAGGGGAGGTGGGGAGTGAATTACAGAAAACATTCACTTTTTCTGTTGTACTTTATGAATCATTTTAACTTTTACAACGATCATGTATTACGTTTGCATAGGGGAAAAAATAAAAATTTTAAAAAGTCAAAATTGGCAAGGAAATAAATACATTCCCTGTTCAAATATGACTATGGATGAAATTCAAACAAAGATGCCTCTCCACATTGACTTTCCTCATTGTTTAACAGGCCAGACTCACCTGTGCCTTGAGGCTTTAATAGTTGCACTCCCTCTTCCTGGGAATGACTGCTCCCAATTCTTCACCCTCATTCTTGCTTACTTCTCACACATATCCTCCTTGAGAAGACCTTCCCTGATCATTCTATCTAAAATTGTCCTACATTATTGCCAGCTCCACTACACCAATGCCCATACATATACCCTGCTTTATTTTTTCTTTTTGTTTCCACCCAGTTGCCCCATCCCCCCCACCGCCCTCCCCTTCAGCAACCCTCAGTTTGTTTCCTATGTTTAAGAGTCTCTTATGGCTTGTCTCCCTCTCTGATTTCATCTTGTTTTATTTTTCCCTCCTTTCCCCCATGATCCTCTGTTTTGTTTCTTAAATTCCACATATGAGTGAGATCACATGGTAATTGTCTTTCTCTGACTTATTTCGCTTAGCATAATGCCCTCTAGTTCCATCCATGTCATTGCAAATGGCAAGATTTCATTCTTTTTGATGGCTGAGTAGTATTCCATACATACCACATCTTAAACCATCTGTTGATGGACATCTGGGCTCTTTCCATAGCTGGCTATTGTGGATATTGCTACTATAAACACTGGGTTGCAGGTGCCCCTTTGGATCATTACATTTGTATCTATGGGGTAAATACCTAGTAGTGCAACTGCTGGGTTGTAGGGTAGCTCTATTTTCAACTTTTTGAGGAACCTCCATACTGTTTTCCAGAGTGGCTGCACCAGCTTGTATTCCCACCAACAGTGTAGGAGGGTTCCCCTTTCTCTGCATCTCTGCCAACATCTGTCATTTCCTGACTTCTTAATTTTCCTGCTTTATTTTTCTTTATAGCACTTAGCATTAACTGACTTTCTATCATGATTTGGTTTACTTATATATTGTCTGGCTTCCACAAAGAAATATAAGCTTTATGAGAGCAGGCACTCTGTCTTACTCACTGTTGTATTCCCTACACCTAAAATAGTTGCTGGCACTAGACATTCAAAAAATACTCACTAAAGAAATGAGTGATTCGTCTCCAAGGAGTTAATAGATTTTTGTTCCCAATATCAGACCCAATAAAAGAGTCTGCATTTCCTCGAAGCCATGTTATTGAATTCAACATTGGATTTTTACTAAAAATCTTAAATTAAAAAATAATTAAGATATTTTAAGCAACATCCTGCTAATACTTAAGAATTATAATTATTGTTCTAATACTGTATTACTATTAGTAAATAATCATTTAAAGATGGTCGAAAATTTGCTTGATTAAAAAAATGAGAGTATCTTTGAAGTTCTGAGATTGCCTTAAAACACAAAACTGCCATATGACAATAGAAGGTGCTATGTATTACTAATATTAAAAGCCTTCCAAAAAAACACAGTACCTCAAGTTTAAGCATCTCCATTAGAAAGCAGAAAAAAATAATAATAAAATGATGGATGAAAGGTGGAAGACTGACAAAAGCACACAATGAACATACAATACAAATGTCCAAACATATTACTAAATCTAATCTCTGATATTTGCATACTTTTAAAGGATATTTAAGTACTCTCTTTAATAACTATGCATAAGTATAATCATTTTTATTCCATCTTTATAAATATTTTAGCTTTTAAAATGAGTTTAAAATGAGTTTATTTGGAATACAAATAAGATTCTTAAAAGATCATTTCCATTAAAGACCACGCCAAATATAAGTTGATTATAGCTTTGATATTTTCAATAATGTAAATTTTTTTAAATAATACTTTTTTAACCCTTAAATCCTCAATTTCTGATCCATAACACAGCTATTTATATAAAGCATTTTCAAATGCTTTAGAATGAGTTATTTTTCTAAAATATCTAGACCAAAAAAAAAAAAACTGTCAATGAATTCATAAGGTATATGTAAATGAAAGTAATAGAACATAAGAACATACTTAATAATATACGTTAGATTATGTCTTCAGCCTCAATTAGAAATACCAAATAAATCATTACATTTTTAGTTCCTTTAATTCCTTTTAATGTATTTTGTCTTAGATACCAATATTCAGGTTCAGTAAAGTAGTAATATATAAAATAAATTTTTTCATTAAGTGTTACAATCCACCAACAAATTTGAGAATAAGTAGGATTGAAATTTAATAAATTAGTAAAATACATGTCATATTTAAAAAGTAAGCAGAAGCTAAAAACAAATGGAGTTACAAACAAATGCAATGGAATATCTAGACATTAATTTTTAATATGAAAATGGTATGAAGCACAATTCAAAAGTATTTTAAGTAGTACTCAATATAAATATTACAACATACAATATGGCAAAATATAAAAAGTAATAACAGTAAGTATTAGGTCAAGATTAATAGCACAAATTTACTTATAAGGCAATCATCAGACCACCCAAAATGAGAGAGAAAATGACAGGGAAAGACTTCAGGCTTTGGAGACCTGAGTTCTAGTACTAGCTTCTGTACATGAGGTGCGTAAACTTAAGTTATTTACCTTCACTAAGCCTCAGATTCCTTCAATATAAAACAAACATATTACTTCATTTACAGGTTAAAAGAAACAAATGAGACCATGTATTTAAAGTACCTGGCATAGTATCCAAAACCTAGTGGTGCTCAAAAAGTTAAGAGTTTGTTTCCAATAATAATATTACTCTGACTCTTATGCTACCATTTCCTGAAGTTGGAAATTACACTTCAGTATAATGTGAGGTCTTAATCATTACAAGCCTATTAGTTAACTAAATAGAAAGTAAATACTATCCTTGTTTTACTAAAAATATGATGAAATGTTAAGTCGCTATTCAGCAAGAATAAATCTATTTTAAAACTTATTTCAAAACATTTAAAAAAGAAAAATTTTATGAAAATGTGAAAGAAGACATGAAGAATGGATTTCTATGCCATTTTTCTTTTCCAGAAACATCTTTCCGAGAGAAAAAAAAAATCATTGTTTCCCACAATCACCCTTGTTGACAGAAGGAAAGTACAGGAAGACACTAAATCCTTTTCTCCCAAATCTTATATAACTCTAGTTATATTTCAAGTGACCTCCTCATAACATATAAAGATAATTTAATCTACGTGAATAAAAATGCAAATTTACAAAAATCCTCCATATTAAAGTAATTATCAAATAAAATATTACTCAGAAATATTTTCCCACATGTATTTTTCCCAAAATGCAAGTAAATATATAAATTTCTTCTCCCTGTTCAAATTCTACCTGTTTAACAAGTAAACATATAACTCTGTAATTCTCAGCTGGAAAATGTCAGAAAGGATTGTACTTTAAAATAGATATATCAAAAAAGTGCCATAATTGTGATTCAATTTTAGTCAACCTATTACATTTGTTTGGAAATTTCAAATAACATTAAAGGAATTTTTTTAATCAAAAGAGAATATAATTTTTTAAAAATTAGAGAAATACTAGTGGGCAGGCAGATTTAATCAAAGTAATTCTTACTGAAGCACAGAAATAAATGACTCAATTCACCCAAATTCAAGTATTTCTGCTTCCACATTATCTGAATGGGATTCCTCCTCATGAGACTTCTTTGATTCAGCATCTCCTTGATTACATATTACAAGCTTTTAACTGGCTTCAATAAGTTCATGAACTCCCTGAAATTGTTTTAAAAACTGTGGAGTTATAGGTCACTGGGTTACAAAGATCACTTTTAGGAAATCTGCACCTGAAGTTCTTAAGTTTTAAAGTCTGAAGTACTAAGCATCATAAAGCTTCACATGCCTATGCATATTATAACCATAAACTTTCCTCCCACTGATAAAATTTAGGAGGAAGAAAGAGAAAGGATGACATGGTTATCTATAATATTTATACTCCATAGCTCATTATGTTACTAATTATGAATAGAGTGCCTTTTAGATCACTAGCTTTAAAACTCCAAGAAAGAAATGCAAACTGAAAAGTCACTATAACTCAACTTTTTAAACTGAAAATACAAAAAAACAGAGGTCCACATCACATAAGGGCGCTTAAGAACTACAAATACTTAATGGAATCTTAATAGATAAAAAGATATCCTCTATAGTACAGTAAAAGGGAAAAAGGCTAGCATTTTTTAAGCAAATATATTTATTGCATATCCTAGAGCTTGTCATATACTGACATATTATATATCTCAAAGATTTACAGGCCAACGTCAAGTCATGTGACAAATGGTAGAAGGAACTGAAAATGTTTATTCTGGAAGAGAAAGAACTCAGTAAATATGAACTGTCTTCAAATATCTCATGTGGAAAAAAGGAACAATTTATTCCGTGTAATTCCTAAGGAGAATTGGAACCTGTACATGTAAATTACAGGAAAACAAATGTCAACAGAATGACTGACTTACAAATAAACATACACCCCCTATACCACCTAGCAAGAGTTGGGGATCACTTATCAGATGCTATAAAGGGGAGTCCTGGATGGAGTGTTAGACTAGTTGACTTTTAAGATTTCTTTCAACAAGGGCGCCTGGGTGGCTCAGTTGGTTAAGCGACTGCCTTTGGCTCAGGTCATGATCCTGGAGTCCCTGGATCGAGTCCCACATCGGGCTCCCTGCTCGGCAGGGAGTCTGCTTCTCCCTCTGACCCTCCCCCTCTCATGCTCTCTCTCATTCTCTCTCTCGCAAATAAATAAAAAAAAAAAAAAAAAATTTCTTTCAACAACATAATTCAATAATTGATAAGTGAGAAGCAAGCCTACTAGAAAATAAGTTTTTCCTAAATATTTTTTCTGAACAACATTGGTAATACAATTGTAAAAAACGAAATCATACTTCCTTTACCCCTACCAAACTGAGAAAACTCAATTACCACTTATTGACTAGCTTGGATCAAATTTAACTTTAAGTATCATCTCCCTGCAATATATATCATTTATTAAATAAAACAGTACTCTTATACAAACATTCTTCTCTAAATGTCCAGCTTCGTAAAGCGAAGTTAAATATTGTCTCTCAAATTAGACTGACTATATACAAATACCATTCGGAGCAAATGAGAGTCAAATATTGTTTTGATAGATCACTCAGAAAAATCTCACAGGTTGGCTTTAATCATAGTATACAATAAACAAGTTAACAACAATCACATTTAGGCATACTGAACTTATTTACCTCTGAGTTAGCATATTCTGTCTGTAACTTTTTGCACTCATCTTTGAGTTTTTCAGATTCTTTCTCACGTTCCAAGGTCATGTTATCCATTAGTGTTTGAACTTGCACCAGTTCTTTCTTTAGCACAGCAACATCTTCTATACCAGGTCTCTGAAGCTGTAGAGCACATTTTCATTAAAAGTTACAGTGAAAAACTAAAAGAATACACATTTTTGTATGGTTTTACTACAAAGAAATCAAAATGAAAATAATCTTTGATATCAATTATTGGACTGCAAACATTGACCACTGGTATCTTTCCCCCAACAAGCCTCTCCTCTTCCTTATATGTCCTATTTAATAGTATTACCACTCAAGGCACAAAATAGCAAATTCACAATTATCCTTGGCGCTTTATTTGCTTTCCTTTCCTTCACAAACTACACCCAATGGTCATAACAATCACTAGATAAATGTCACATTTTGAAGCATAAATTTTCTATCCTAGGAAACTGGTAATAAAAGTAAAGGAGCAGATGTAAGCATAATTAGGGTTTGTTGCAGGCTGGATATGGTTGATTTTATTGATATATTTATTGAGTGCTAAATAAAGGACAGAAAGGAGTCAAGGACAGATTCAAGGTTGTTACACCTTAGGAGACTGTTGAAGATGTATAATACCAATAACAGAAACACAGCTGAGGAGGAAATATGATGACCTGATGTTACACTTGAATTTGAAATGAAAGCCAGAAATGCAATCAGAACTATCCTAAAAGTAGGTGGATTTATAAAACCATAGTACAGGGAAAGGTCAGGATCAGAGATGCAGATATGAAAAGCAAGAAGACAGATAATATTAAGATAGAAACAACAAAAATGTTAAACAAAAGATAAATATTAAGATAGAAACACAAAAATATTAAGGTAATAAATTTTGCATCCTAGATTCCATTTCTATGTAAAAAAAATTCTATTAGTGTATGTGTAGAAGATAGAACTATAGGAAATTTTTATTTCCTCCATTTTAGGCAAGCTATACTTTCAAAATTTTTTCATCAGAGTATATATTTCATTTTTAATTTAGAAAATTATAAAAGTACATTCCAATAAATGGTTTCTAAATTACCAGTTCAGTCTTCAGATCTTGAATTATAGTTGTTTCTTTGTTTAATTCTTCTGTCAGATGTGTTACTTTTTGTTCAGCAGCTTCTCGAAGACTCCTTTCTTCATCATATTTTGACTTTATATCTAATTGAAGATAGTTATATAAATATTAGTTTTATGACATTAACTCTAGGAAAGGACAGTTTTATAAATTCCTATATATTATACAGCTTTATAGATTCCTATATGTTACACAATGCATATCTACATATCATTCATTCAAATTCATTCCTTAGATAATCATAAATAAATACAATACATGGGGCGCCTGGGTGGCTCAGTTGGTTAAGCGACTACCTTCGGCTCAGGTCACGATCCTGGAGTCCCGGGATCGAGTCCCGCATCAGGCTCCCTGTTCAGCAGGGAGTCTGCTTCTCCCTCTCACCCTCCCCCCTCTCATGCTCTCTCTATCTCATTCTCTCTCTCAAATAAATAAATAAAATCTTTAAAAAAAAAAAATAAAAATAAATAAATACAATACACTTTAACTTCTGATTACATGAAATGATGAACTTAAAATAATCAAATGTTTGTGTCTACATAAATTCCATACAGCATAGCACTACTAATTAGCATGTTAATGTACACTTAATCATATATTTTACCTAAAAGCATGTAATTTTTTAAAAAAGTAATTGACAGCATAACCAAATGTTAAATCTATACTATACTATATTGTAACTTTTTCAAAATGTTGTTATTCCATAAGCATACCCCCCCAAAAATCCATCTTCTCTAAATTTCAAGAATTCTACAGAGAAAATCAGTCCTTTGAAAGGAGGTAAGAGGACAAACAAAATAATTTATACAGCAACTCTATTATTAAATTCCAGTAATCACCACCATAGTCTATAACAAATGTCTTATCACACTAAAATACAATACACTAAAATACAGTCAATGCCTTATTTCTAGGATATATAATGGCAAAAAGGTAACAAGACATACACTAGCTAAAAAAATCTGATTCAATTCACCTGCAATTTCAGTGGCAAGTTGGGCTGCTTTCTGTTCAAATAAGTCTTTCATTTGCTTAATATTAAAATTTTCTGTTTGGGCCTCTTCTAATTGTTGTTCCAAAGACTGTAGTTCTATAAAAAAGTATCACAGTTATTCAAATACATAATTAATGCTAATTACATTTCCTAAATTGTTATTACTTATATCCTAATCATTATAGTAAAGACAATCAACATGAAAAAAAGACAATCAACATGAGTCTACCAACCAGTTACAAATAGAGTATGCCAACATTTCAAGAATTAAGCATATCTAATTCATTTAAGCCACAAGTCATAATTTATAAGCACATAAAACAAATGAAAGGAATATTTAGCATCATGCCCAAATAATCCATAAATATTTGTTTCAAGATTATTTTGATGTCACGTTTCAGTTATTTTCCTATAACCATCAACTAACCAAAAAGGAATATATTCTGCCTCTCTAAATAAAATGTATTATAATGAGAAATGAAGTTAGAAATGGTTTAAAATCAAGGTCTTATATAAAATAAAGAATCAATTAAAATACACAGTCAACTCCTAATACTTTATTCTCATAAAAAGATTTCAGAGGGAAAGTAAATAGAACGGCTAACCTCAAAATATAATCTTGATTATTCATTGAGCATTCCTCCAGTTAAGGTCAATTACAAAGATGTTAGTTTCATCATTTTATTCCAAGAGTTAGAAAGAGTACATCACTCTTTAAAATAGGTTTAACTTTTCATTAAACTGTATTCATGTAATATTCCAGAAGCTTATTTATAACTACAGAATATAATGAACTATGAAAACACTAAGATTTTTTGTTGACTGATTAAATTATGAAGTTCACAGGTAATACTCTAAACCTAAAATATGACTATTATCATCACTGTTTTAGAGCCAGAAAGTATAACCACAACACAAATTTATGTAGCAGACATCAGAGAAAAGGTAAAAAGTAAAAAAGAAGAATGAGCAAGGAGAAAAAGAAAAATGAAAAAATAATCTGCTTTAAGTAAAGTTACCTGCTGATGAGTCAGCCACCAATCCATCAGGTTTAGACTCCTCAGTGAAAACAAGACATAAACAAACACATTAAAAGGAAAAGACAATTCTATTACCATTGCCAAAGTGAAAAAAAGTTCAAAAAGCCACATTCTATGAGGGAAGTAGCAAGATTTTGATAAAATTTTGGCCTGTTCACAATCTTCCAGATCTCTAAAGTACTCTTAGGCAGACTGGCATAACGATCTAACTGCCGTTATTGGTTCTAAGAATTTTTTTATGTTAATATAAAGTTATTACGGGTCTTAGATAGCATCTTAAATTCCATAAATTCAGTAAATATATATATTTTTTTAATGTGGGCTCCACTCTGGGCTTGAACTCACGACCCTGAGATCAAGACCTGAGCTGAGATCAAGAGTTGGATGCTTAACCAACTGAGCCACCTGGACACACCAGTAAAGATTTAAAAATAACATAAATCATTATAATTATAAACATAGATTCTAAAGCCAATACTTGAGTCAGCAGATAAAATTCATAATCTTCTAGAAGCGCCTAGATGGCCCAGTCAGTTAAGCGTCGGACTCTTGGTTTTGGCTCAGCTCATGATCTCGGTCCCATGTCAGGCTCCTTGCTCAGCAGGGAGTCAGCTCAAGATTTTCCCTCTGCCCCTCCTCCCAACTCCTGCTCACTCTCTCTTTCTCTCTCTCTCTAAAATAAATAAATAAATCTTCAAAAAAGTAAAAAAGATTCAATCCTATAACATATAAAAAATTTGCATAAGCTAAAATATGCCATGGAGCTATCATTACTAAAAAGTTTGGCATTAAAAGCACAAATTTTTAATTCAGGATTATAAATTATCTTCTTAAAAAGCAGAAATAAAGAATATATTCCATAAGGTTTAATTTATTATGTGCATTAGGAATAAAACACTATACTGCCTAGTCGTTTTCACATTCTAAAAAACTATACATATCTGAAAGAGTTTAATAAGACATCTCATAGTATATCTGATTTATTTTCCTACACATTAGATTTAGACATACTGGTTGCTAAGAATCATCAATATTTTAAATACATTTTCCCCAAAAGTAAATTTCCTACACCAAGGCAATTTCACCTTGCACTGTGGAGAAATTATTTAATTTATTAAATGTGAAACAGTCATCTCAAATGTAGGAAACAGTTTCCTCTATTTTCAGGTACAAAAAATAATATAGCACGTTTCATGAATTGTTAATGGCATGTATGTAAAACATGAGTAAATGAACTGTAAATATTGTAGATTACTAAAAATTTCTTTCCTACCTCAAATTCAGAAGCTGAGTAGTAATAAGACTGATATCTTACTATCCATTTATTTGGGTTTTTTTCTAGTCCAAATGACAATTTTTGGTGAAAAAACAAAAAGGCAAAAAGGGGTCACCTGGGTGGCTCAGTCAGTTAAGCGGCTGCCCGGCTCAGGTCACGATGTCAGAGTCCTGAGGATCAAGACCCGCATCAGGCTCCCTACCCAGTGGGAAGTCTGCTTCTCCCTCTCCCTTTGCTGCTCCCCCTGCTTGTGCTCTCTCTCTCTTAATAAAATCTTTAAAAAAAAAAAAAAAAAAAGACTGAGAGTCACAATGTACTAATATGCAAAGGGATCACTAATTACTTTATAAAAATATTAGAACTATTGTTGAAGGATATCAACTTTATTCTTACAAATGAAAACTATTTGGTAAAATTCATTCACAAAAGCCAATATTATCTTATTTTTTTTAAGATTTTATTTATTTATTTGAGAGAGAGAAAGAGAGATCACAGGTAGGAGGAAGGGTTTGAGGGAGAAGAAGATTCCCCTTGAGCAGGGAGCCTGATGCGGGACTTGAACCCAGGACCCTGGGATCATGACCCAAGCCCAAAGCTGACACTTAACCAACTGAGCCACCCAGGCGCCCCAAAAGCCAGTATAATTTTAGTATAGAAATCATAATTGGTTAAGACATTTATTTAGAAAATACATTGAACTATGTATCAACAGAATCTCACTCCAAAGTAACCACTTTTCATACCAATGCTTTTGGGTTTTTTTCTATGTATTATTTTTATATAAAGCTGTGTATGTGTGTGTACACATGTACATAAATATTTTTATTCTGTTTTTTAAAACCTAATATTGGCTTTAAAAAGTACCCTAAAATTGTTAAATACAACCATTCCCCCACATTTTCACACTCTGCATTAATGTAAACAAAAAAGTTAATAATAGTTCTTTCCCTACTAGTAGACAATTTAGTGATTTCCGGTTTGTCACAACACAAATGGTCTGAAGAGTTTCACTACTATCTGAACCTATAGTTTTTAACAATTTAGGTATATTGTCAGAAAATTAGAATAATGCAGCCTGGTATAAAAAAACAATCCACAGGTAACTGATTCTTAATGGAGCATCTTTAAGAAATTACATATTAGCTTCCCAATTATTTATTTGCATTCATTAGAATTACAAAGGATATACACTATAGGCGATTAAATACAGATAAACAAATTAGAAGTTATTTATTTCAGGCCACTTACTTACAAAATGCTTATTTTCAACAATGAAAATAAACAACTAATACACACACTTCAAGTATTTAAAAGCATTTACTTGCTGCTGCAGCCCTTGAAATTTTTCTAATTCTTTCTTTAATTCTTCTGAGTACCATTTTTCTTCCTAAGGAAAAAAAATTTTTTTATTTAGTAAATTTCAAAAGATTTATTATCTGAAACATTGAAAATAAACAAATATAATCATTTTTATTGTTACCTTAAGTGAAGCCTGAAGGTCTTGGACCTCTTGTCTAAGTAGTGTTATATCATCTCTAAACATAAATTGGGGAAAAAAGGAATTAATAGTTAATGTCCTGTAACAACCTAGTCTCAATAAATCATGGCTAGTGACTGTATATTAATATTCTAGTTTTCTCAATTAAAAAAAAACGCTTTAGAATTTTACATATAAAATTTTATGTATAACCCTTAGAAAAATAATTATATTGTTTTGTTTTGTTTTTAAGATTTTTATTTATTTATTGAGAGAGAGAGAATGATAGAGAGAGAGCATGAGAGGGAGGAGGGTCAGAGGGAGAAGCAGACTCCCTGCTGAGCAGGGAGCCCGATGCGGGACTCGATCCCAGGACTCCAGGATCATGACCCGAGCCGAAGGCAGTCGCTTAACCAACTGAGCCACCCAGGCGCCCAAAAATAATTATATTCTGAAAGCTCACTGTTTATAAATGGAAAAACGCCTTATCACAGAAATGATATAATCAAGTGCCTGAGCCAGAAACAAAGTATCTCACATTAATTTATCAATAATAAGGATCAATAGCTTCCTACTGCAGCTAGCATAAAATCTGAACTCATTAACAAGGATTATACAATCTGTACAGTATAGTCCCTGCCTTAACACTCTCCTCCTCATGCACCCAGCTCAGGCAACACTGGCTTCTTTCTTTTTTTTTTTAAAGATTTTATTGATTTATTTGACAGAGAGAGACAACAACGAGAGAGGGAACACAAGCAGGGGGAGAGGGAGAGGGAGAAGCAGGCTTCCCACAGAGCAGGGAGCCAGACGTGGGGCTCGATCCCAGGACCCTGGGATCATGACCTGAGCCGAAGGCAGACGCTTAACGACTGAGCCACCCAGGCACCCCAACACTGGCTTCTTTCTGTCCCTTGAGTCCTGTCAAACCTTCTCACATTCTACTCTCCTTACCTAAGAGTCAGTCTGACAAAGAACGGTGAGCACACTACTCAAAGCCCTAACACAGGAAAGAGATAATATCACATGCATTCATAACAGTATATACTTCAGAGTGATTGTACTGTACCGCTTCAGAGCAAGAGCCTCTCCTCCATGACCTGAGTCATTACCAGCATCATGAACTACCTCATAGTGTTTGAAAAGTTCATCAGCAGATCCCAGGGATTTCATACACTGGGGACATATGAAACCCTACAGAAAGAGGCAGAAAAAGGTTACAAAATTGTGTTTAATACTGTAAGACAGCAATTTGTACATTATGAAATACAGTCAAATGTTACACCAATGGTGCCATTAGTAGACCATAATTTATGACGTTAAGCCCAAATTCTGGTATTGTGTAAAGATACATCACCATCTATTCTGGTTGAAGTTTACAAAATATAAAGAAAGCCCTTACAACCATCTTTTAGGTTGAATAAATGTATGGCTAGAGTACAGAATTCTAATCATGAGAAGTTAGTTCTGATCTAGAAAACTACTTGAGAAGATCCTCCATCACACCCTCTCTCTCTTTCTAGATATCCCCCTTAGTAAAATAATATCTATCCCAATCTATTTCATAGGAATGATAACAAAAAAAATTAAAAACATAAAGTATTATGATCAGTGAGGAAAAAGGTAATATAGTAAATAACTTGTAATTACCACGGAATATCTACAATGATTAAGAAGTATTGTAGTCAGTAAATTCCTTGCTAACTTAATCTGATTAATACTGTAAAAGTCTAAAGTTAATAGTCTCATAAAATACTAAATACTTATAAATAATCTTAGAATTATATGGCTATGGCATAGAGGTCCTGCATGAATATTCCCTCAATGGCCTAGTCACTCTGATGCCTGGACACCTCTCACTCTGTACAACTCTACTGACATTTTCAACTACTCCAGCTTACCTATGTCCCTGAACACACCATGGTATCCACATTTCTGGGCCTTTGCATATACTGCTTTTTCCCTCCAGCACAGTCTTAGTAGCTTGTCAAGTTTCTACATTCACTATAATACACAATACACTGAAGCTTTTCATCCATGTTTCCCTAATGGCTAGTGTAGTATTTTTGAACATATTCTATATTTTCTATATTGATTATTTATTTAATAAAATATGACTAAAATAAAATAAAATAACAACCGGCTGGCTCAAACATTAGAGCATGCGACTCTTGAACTCAGGGTCATGAGTTCAAGCCCCACATTGGGTATGGAGCCTACTTTAAAAATAAATAAATAATAAAAATATGA